AAAGAAAGAAAGAGAAAGAAAGAAAGAAAGAAAGAAAAAAGGATTATAAGCTCTAGAGTTCAGCACTGTGCTAAGCAATGAGCTGCTCGATCAATATTTGTTGAATAAAATACAAGGAATTTTACCATTAAAATTACATTAAATTTAGGGGCCTGTAAAATATACACAGGCAAATTAATAACATTAATAGCACATCTTACAGTAGGGGAAAAAATTAAGTTCATTTGTAAGTTTTTATTTTCTATAACTTTCCACAAAATAAAAAAATTGAGCTGGCACGGTGATTCATGCTTGTAATCCCAGCACTTTGGGAAGCCAAGGGAAGCAGATGGCTTGGGCCCAGGAGTTCGAGACGAGCCTGGGCAATATGGCAGGACCCCATCTCTACAAAAAAAAAAAACAAAACAAAAACAAACATTATATGGGCATGGTGGTGCATGTTTGTGGTCCCAACTACTCAAGAAACTGAGGTGGGAAGATCATTTGAGCCCAGGAAGTCAAGGCTAAGCCATGTTCATGCCACTGCATTGCAGCCCGGGTGAGAGAGCAAAACCCTGTCTCACAGTAGGGGAAAAATGATACAAGGTCTCTAACCTTATCTCATTAGCTAGGAAGACTAAAGTGACAGGTCTAAGAACACAGAATTAAAAAGTATCAAACCCAAGCTAAAATCTAAGTCTTAGCCAAATGCTTCCACTGACCTCAAGATCTTCTACACCTGCACTGTCTCATACAGCAACCACTACCCAGAAGTGGCTACTGAAGCACCTGAAATTTGGCTACTCCAAATAGAGAAGGGATGTAAGTATCAATACAAACCATATCTTGAAGACTTAACACCAAATAAAAGCAAATCATCTCATTATTTTTGTATTAGTTACACAGGTATATTGATTTAACCAAATATATTATTTAAATTAATTTTGCCTATTTTGATTAATCTTTTTTTTTTTTTTTTTTTTTTTTGAGACGTGTTTCGCTCTCACCCAGGCTGGAGTGCAGTGGTCGGATCTCAGCTCACCGCAGCCTCCGCCTCCCGGGTTTACGCCATTCTCCTGCCTCAGCCTCCCGAGTAGCTGGGACTACAGGCGCCCGCCACCTCGCCCAGCTAGTTTTTTTGTATTTTTTTCAGTAGAGACGGGGTTTCACAGTGTCAGCCAGGATGGCCTCGATCTCCTGACCTCGTGATCCGCCCGTCTCGGCCTCCCAAAGTGCTGGGATTACAGGCTTGAGCCACCGCGCCTGGCCGATTAATCTTTTTTAACGTGGCTACTGGAAAAATTTAAATTATGTGTATAGCTTACATTATATTTCTACTGAACAGTACAGTTTGTTTGTTTTGTTTTGTGTTGTTTTGAGACGGAGTCTTGCTCTGTTGCCCAGGCTGGAGTGTAATGGTACGATCTTGGCTCACTGAAATCTCCACTACCTGGGTTTAAGTGATTCTCCTGCCTCAGCCTCTCGAGTAGCTGGGATTATAGGCACCCGCCACCACGCCCGGCTAATTTTTGTATTTTTAGTAGAGACGGGGTTTCACCGTGTTGGCCAGGCTGGTCTCGAACTCCTGACCTCAGGTGATCCGCCGGCCTCAGCCTCCCAAAGTGCTAGGATTACAGGCGTAAGCTACTGCCCCAGCCGGTTTTACCTTTTTTTAAATGTCTTGATTCATTATAACCCAATTCCTTTCCCTCAACATCCCACACTACAAAAGTAAAATCCTACAAAACTTCTGATTAACTCTCCTTCTCACCTGCCAGAAAATGAAATGTTCCCGGATAATATTCTTCACAGCTTCGTTGCTCCACACGTCGCGGTTGAGGCACTGACAGGCAAAGTCTTGCACATTTTGAATGTTTATCATCAGCCACTTATTTTGCATCTGGCCACACTCTTTGGCCTGCAAAAGTAAAGTTACACATTTGTTAGAAATAATTTCTACTTGGTGACAGATGTTTCCATAGTTGTTCAGAGGTTGTCTTTCACTAAAAATACTAAGTTTTTGCCCAGATATAACATCTAGAGTTTTCAGTATTTATATATTCTATATATTTACTTTGCATATGCATGTATAACTATACAGTCCATTTCAAGCACTTCTCAAATTTAAATTAACTCATTTCTCTTTTATCCAGTTATCTGTTATAATGGCTGATCTTTTTCTTTCTTTCTTTCTTTTTTTTCTTGAGATAAAGTCTAACTCTATTGCCCAGGCTGGAGTGCAGTGGTGCAGTCTTAGCTCATCGCAACCTCCACCTCCTGAGTTCAAGTGATTCTCCTGCTTCAGCCTCCTAAGTAGTTGGGATTAAAGGCGTGCCCCAACATGCCTGGCTAATTTTTGTATTTTTAGTAGAGACAGGATATCAACATGTTGGCCAGGCTGGTCTCAAACTTCTGACCTCAAATGACCCGTCCACCTTGGCCTCCCAAAGTGCTGGAATTACAGGTGTGACCCACCATGCCCGGTAATGGCTGAATTTTTAATGTATGTTTAAACATCTTTACCCGAAAAGGATTCAACAAACTTAAGATCAAGTCACATAATTTTATTCTCTTGCAACCTCCATCAACAAATTTTTTTTTTTTTTTTTTGAGACGTGTTTCGCTCTTGTTGCCCAGGTTGGAGCACAATGGCACGGTCTCGGCTCACTGCAACCTCCACCTACTAGGTTCAAGTGATTTTCCTGCCTTAGCCTACCGAGTAGCTGGGATTACACGTCTGTGCTACCATGCCTAATTTTTTATATATTTTTAGTAGAGAGACAGGGTTTCACCATGTTGGCCAGGCTGATCTCGAACTCCTGACCTCAGGTGAGGCACCCATCTCAGCCTCCCAAAGTGCTGGGATTACAGGCGTGAGCCACTGTGCCCAGCCAAATATACTTCTTTTTAATGAAAGCAATTGGTGTGCATATTTTATTTTGTTTTCTTCAGCATCATTTCTAGAACATTTTTAAACATCATATTAATCTTAATTATTAGGCATATTTGCTATATTGGAGAATGACCCTAAACATTTTAGTAAAAACTGCTGAGAGTTTTTTCTCTTAAGAGTTGTCTTCCTAGGAGCAGATTTCAAAAATTGGGATTACAAGGTCAAAGAATGTTTGAGAATGATCCCCAAACAACTCTACGATTCATACCACAAATATCAATATATCAATCATTAGTGTGTGCCTTTTGCCTGTCAGTCCCTTGTCAGCATAAAGACCCATGAAATGCTGCTGAGTGGAAAACAATGGCAGAAAAGCAAATGAGCAAATAAATGCTGCCTCAAATCTCTGCCTAGGAAAGAACAGTGACACGAAACCACAGTTTTGGAATAACTTTATCCTAGAACAATATTCTTCTCCAAATCAGTGTGACATGGGAAAATCTTACGAATCAATGAATTTGGTGTAATAACAATCCAAGAACACACTGGACATCATTTTGTGGGTACTGAAAAATGTAAGACGGAGAATATCTTCTGTTTTAAGAAAGTTAACATCATCTCACAAATAGCATTTTTTGTATGAATCCCCCAGAATAAATTATTTTCTTTTTTTGTTGTTTACACTTTTTGTAGAGATGGGGGTTTCACTATGTTGGCCAGGCTGGTTTGGAACACCTAACCTCAAATGATCCTCCTGCCCTGGCCTCCAGAAGTCCTGGGATTACAGGTGTCAGTCACCCCACTCAGCCCCAGAATATATGATCTTCTAATATTTGCTTACTGATTCCATGGGTGAAAACCCAAGGTCTAAAAAGAAATATTCTTATATTGAGCCAGGAAGCTGCATTTAACTGGTCAAAGGCTTATTTTAAAATACACAAATATAATAATTTCTTGCTTATAGGAAGTAGTATTTCCATTTACTTCCTTATAGGACAAAGATTTAAAAAGTGAATGATAAATGAATAATTAAGCTGCTTTAACTGCAGAAACAGTATTTGAAAATAAACGGAAAAATGGCCATACATTCTAGAGACAGACTAGAGAGCACATATTCCTGTAACAGGGTAAATTTACAGAAGTCTGCCCCGAAAACACTGACAAGAAAAAAATGTACAAAACTGAAAATGAATAAAAGTCCAGAGTTTAAAATGGAAGAGTCTTTTTTTGTGTGTGTGCTTTTAAAAATTTGTTTACTCACATTCATGCTTTCATTAGCTCAGATTTATTCAACAAATACTGAGTGCTCATCATGTTTCGATACAGTTAGAGATACTGAAGTTATAGCAGTTCTAAAACATAAAAATTCCTGCCTTCATGAAGCTTCCAATGGGGGAGAAACCTAATACTAGCAAAAGAAACTTGGAAAGATACTAACCACACTGAAGATACTGTTAAAAAGTTGTCACTGCTAAAAGGAAGGGTCCAAAGATACAATTTTCAAACAAAACAACAATATTGGGAGGGAATAAAAGAGTCTTGAATAGGCCGGGTGCAGTGGCTCACACCTGTAATCCCACCACTTTGGGAGGCCGAGGCAGGTAGATCACCTGAGGTCAGGAGTTCAAGACCGGCCTGACCAACATGGTGAAATCCCGTTTCTACTAAAAATACAAAAATTAGCCAGACGTGGTGGTGGGCGCCTGTGATCCCAGCTTCTCAGGAGGCTGAGGCAGGAGAATTGCTCGAACCTGGGCAGCAGAGGTTGCAGTGAGCCGAGATCGTGCCATTGTACTCCAGCCTGGGCAACAGGGTGAGACTCTGCCTCAAAAAAAAAAAAAAAAAAAGAAGAAGAAGAAAGAAAGAAAGAAAAGAAAAGAAAAGAGTCTTGAATAAGTCTAGAGAGCTCAAGTACAACACGAGGACTATACTTAATAATAATGTCTTATACACTGAAAATGTGCTCAGAGTAGGTTATTAGGTGCTCTTACCACACACACACAGGTAAAAAGACAATTATGGAAGGTAAGGACAGGTTACTTTGCTTGACTGTAGTAATCATTTTACTATTCTTCATGTTATACATCTTAAATATGTACAGTAGGCTGGAGCAGTGGCTCACACCTATAATCCCACTGCCTTGGGAGGCCAAGACATGAGGATTGCTTAAGGCAGGGAGTTCGAGACCACCCTGGGCAACACAGTAAGACCCCATCTCTAAAAAGATTTAAAATAATTAAATATATACAATTTAAAAAGAGAGAGTCTTAAAAAAAAATCTAAGCATACCAATTATGTGAGTCAAGGACTGGAGGTGAGAATGGGCCATGAGAAAAATAATCTCCTCATGGAAGAAGATTATCATGAAAGAAGATTACTGGAATCCTTGGAATGGATTCGGCTGTTCTGAATCAACATTTCAAAGCCATTATAATGGAGACCCCAGAGTAAAACAGTGGGAGACCAACATCTCTCCCAGTACCAGTCAGATCAGGAAGGCATGATAAATAACGGTTTAGGCCGGGCGCGGTGGCTCACACCTGCAATCCCAACACTTTGGGAGGTCGAGGTGGGCCGATCATTTGAGCCCAAGAGTTCCAGACCAGCCTGGCCAACACGGCGAAACCTCATCTCTACTAACAACACTAAAATTAGACGAGGGTGGAGGTGCATGCCTGTAATCCCATCTACTTGGATAGCTGAGGCACAAGAATGGCTTGAATCAGAGGTTGCAGTGAGCTGGGATCATGCCACTGCACTCCAGCCTGGGCAACAGGCAAGACTGCCTCAAAAAAAGAAACGAAAAAGTACGATTTGAACAAATTTAGTATGTTTCAGTAAATACATACACATAAAGTCAAGAAGAAAATATATTAAAATATACACAGTACTTTTTTATGGAAATGGAAATTACAATTTCATTTTTCCTTATTCATTTTATAAATTTCAATGATTTGTCTAATTTGAATAAAATTAAATGTAAACAATATATAAGTTTAATCAGAAAAATGTTATATATTGCCAGGCGCAGTGGCTCACTCCTGTAATCCCAGCACTTTGGGAGGCCGAGGTGGGTGGATCACCTGAGGTCAGGAGTTTTGACACCAGCTTGACCAATATGGTGAAACCCTGTCTCTACTAAAATCACAAAAATTAGCTGGGAGTGGTGGTGTGTGCCAGTAGTCGCAGCTGCTCAGGAGGGTGAGGCAGGAGAATCGCTTGAACCCAGGAGGCGGAGGTTGCAGTGAGTCGAGATCACGCCACTGCACTCCTGCCTGGGTGACAGAGCAAGACTCTGTCAAAAAAGAAAAAGAAAAAGAAAAAAAAAATTAGTTACTAAGTAGGCTCTTCTTCACATTTTTGGCTACATATTTTAACTTGCATTTATACTAAATACTTTTGAAATTAACAAAATACTCTTAGGGCTAGGTGCACATGTAATGGGATACCAATTTAAAATATGGGTTTTTTTTTCCTCTCATGAAATTAGAAATATTGGCCGGGTTCCATGGCTCACACCGGTAATCCCAGAACTCTGGGAGGCCAAGGCCGGTTGACCATTGGAGCTCAGGAGTTCAAGACCAACCTGGGCAACATGGCAAAACCTCATCTCTACAAAAAATACAAAATTTAGCCAGGCATGGTGGCACGTGCCCATAATCCCAACTACTTGGGGGGCTGAGGTGGGCAGATCACTTGAGCCCAGAAGTTGGGGCTGCAGTGAGCTTAGATCGTGAGGAAGGGAGGGAGGGAGGGAGGGAGGGAGGATTACAGAAATTATTCTGATTCTTTCTGCACAATATTCTTTCTGGCATAATCACGATTTTATCAAGGCTAATTGAACTGTTTTAGGCCCTGTGGACACATAACAGTCAAGAAAACGATGGTGGGGAAAGAAAACAAAGGAAACGTTCCCTTGCCCAGGTCAGACCATTTGGCCTCAGTGTTTGGCTCACTCAGCTGGTTTTCTTGACTGTGCCAGCTCTTTCCAACATCAGTATGTCCACACTGTATTACCTACTCTT